TTCCCCGGCGTGGCCCTCGTTCATTCTTTAAGCAATCGAACCTGTTTGAGAGGAGTCGGATTGTCGGCCTGCGCGAAGCCGGATGGTCCTTTCGGCCCATAGCTGATCACGTGGGCCACGACGATGATGGGTAGACGATCATTCCCATACCCCTAGACCCACTTCGGGGCGACCGCGGAGCAGTGACGAACGTCAAAATAAACGCATCGTAAGGGCGTCATTGGCAGACTGAACGGCCACTCAAGCCGAGATACTGGCACATGTGGTCTCCTAAGTGTCTCCATGGGAACCGGTTACTTGCTGCATGAATACAATCGCGCATACCACTAGCCCGACTGCCACGCATGCCTAATCATCGTCGGGCACGTGGTACAATGTGCAAATTAACTGGGAGGCGGAATGGCGTACAGTGGTGCTCAGTGATGAGAGCCGCTTCTGCCTGCACGCCAGTGATAGTCTTGTGTCGCGTGGTCCGGTGTGTGTTCGTTCACGTCTCGAAGGGCCCGCCCCGGGAGTGATGGTACGGACTGCCATCAGCTACAACGCGCGTTCGTCTTTGGTCTTTGAGGGAGGATCTTTTACCAGCGTTAGATACTGCCAGCACGTTGTGCAGTCTGTGCTGATACATTTCTTGCAACGGGAGGGTGGTGCACTGTCCCAACAGGACAATGCCCGCTCTGCGCAACACCCTCTCAGCGATCTTCAACTGCCCTGGCAGGCACGCTTGTCGTATTTGTTCCCGGTTGAGCACGTTTGGTACATAATTGGCCAACGCCTGACCCGTGTTGCGACTCACCCAACACATCTGCCTGCTCTGCGAGAGGCGGTGCACAGAGGCATGGACAGTGTACCCTGGCGGACTATCCGCCACTGTACGATGGATGCCAGCTTCGTAAATTAGGCTTGTCGTACTGGCCTCGAGGGGGGGGGCAACGCCAGTACTGATGTGGCGTTTCAGCCATGGTCCCTTGCTGGACGTGCGAGTCTCACATGGCTCTGCCCATGTAACCATGTGTAGTAATCTGTTTTATATGCTGTATCTGTATGGAGGAATAAATTGTACACCGCAATTGGGGTGTTGCAATACTTTCTTCCGCCAGAGTATATGGACAGTGTGCGCATGTGTGTCTAGTTGTTTGTGCGTCTTTCAACTTCACGATTGCTATTTTATGCTAAAAAGACGCACCAATGCCGGAGAGAGAGACAATTGGGCGTTCTTTGGTTTCAAAATGATTTCGCGTTCATCGATATTGCTGCTATGTTTTGAATACTGAATGTCATTAAAAGGAAATGTATATTCCTAATATATTACATATGAAATCTTTTGCTATTATCTGTGGATCGTGCAGCCTAAACACTAGCCGCCTCTGCCATTGATATGAATTAGGTGAAGGAATACATTGCAATACTACTACTGACAGAGTAAATGTCTCCAAAAATATTAGAATGTTTTGGTAAACCAAATCAGATGTACACAATGTCTAACAGTATGATAAGTACATTTTTTGAAATATATCAACATCTACATCACTCAGATAATTTTTGACTTTTGGCCATTGGATTAGTCACAGCTTTTCAAAGTATATGGCTCTTGTAGAGAAAAATTGGATCGGAAAAGAACTTGGCACGTTGTGAATTTCGAAGGTATATAGTGCAAGTATGTTGGGGTAAATATGGAAAGCATCCTCATAGAAGTTCACCAAGTTGATTGGTTTCATCAAGAATTCCCGCCGACTTGTGATTGGCAACAGCGGCGGGTCTACTTGAGAAGGAAACCTATTCCCAGAGGTGGTGGGCGAAATACTATCAGCGTACAATAATTATATACAAACGTTGCAGTATGGGTTTGCAGGTGCGTTGCTGGTTTGAATATAACAAAAAATATACAATTTTCTGTTCGGTTATTTTATTTTAACAGGACTTTTTTGGTAACCTGAAACGTAGTGCCCGTAATGTCACCTCAACTTGACACCACTATTTTTTACTTTCTCGCTTCTGCTTTCGTAGTATGGAGAAAGTACTGTAATGGTGGGCGAATTTTCGACAGAAGAACTCTTTATTGCCGTACCCTGGCAGTGAAAAAATAGATAAATTTTGCCCATATAAATTACTTCCTCTCACAAGTTATGTAGTCATAATTTGTTTTGTGGGTTAACTCAGAAAAATCGATTGACGGCAAAACGCCTGTCTGTAAATAACATTAGTGGCTAAACCGTTAATAGGATTTTCATTACAATTGATAATCCGTGATCGATCTGATGTCGAGACCCCTTGAACTTTAAAGATAATTAAATTTTTTGTGTAACATTCCATGAAACCCCCAGGACATTTTCAAAAAAATGGTACCAATTTTTTTATTAAATTTTGTTGTCGGATAGCATAAAGGCTATTTACAAGAATAGTGCAGTAGAGAATTTGCGTTGAAAACCAATTTTTTGAAAATTGCAAAAACCCAAAAACTGTTTGATATCTTCTTACAACTTCATTTATGAAAATATTTTTTATAAAATGTGTTCATTGGAAACATATCTTTAAATAATGTCATGTTCAAATTTTCGAGAACAGTATTGAGTAAAACTTTTTTTTAATTTTAAGCAACAATTTCCTTAAAAACAGCTTCAACTTTTTTTCTCGCATGTAGCAAATGACAGTAAAGAAAGTGGCGCTGTTTGTATTTTTGAAAACTGGCAAAAATTTGAAAGCAGTAAAGTCGAATTTCCCCGCGCGTTTGACGTGTCAAAATGGCAACACAGCGGGTGTTAATTCTCAGAGATTTTGTTATTGTTGCCCGAGTTGTTAATTGTAAGATGTAGTTAACATTCTTATGAAAGGAAATACATTTTTAATATTTGTCGGTACACACGCGCTTACCTCCTTAGCAACCATCTATACAACGCATTAACGGCACGTCCATACGCGTCCATAGCAACTGCCGTTAAATGCCAGTCCATTAAAAATATTTTAGCGAACTTTCGGGTTTAGATTTCATCATGGCTCATAAATATTTGGATCATTATGTTATTGCCACACAACAATGTTTGGTAACAATTGTAATTAAAATTTACTTTTACAATTGTTTTGGTACAGATATATTTAAGTTACAATTTCTGAACTTGCCATTGAACATAATGCCATTTGAAGCTGTGACAATCTTCTTCGTTAGCATTGCAAGAAATCGATTCCGAAATTTTTGTCCCCAATATCCTAAGGGTTGGTTTTGTCCCCTCGGCTCATTTTGATCTTAAGTCCACCTTGTCCCACTTTTCCCATTTTGTTTCCTTGCTTTCTTAGTCTTCTTTATCCTCTTTGTCTCACTTATTATTTTGGTCCACACTGCAAATGTTATTCAAAAACAGTACCAAAACTTAGAACCAACAATCCTTGTTACAGAACACCGCGAGTCCTGACAATTCTTAACTCATAAAAGTGTTAAATGTTAATTTGAAGACCTACAAGTAACAAACAACATTGTATGTAACATGTCCTTTGTGACTCTTTAAGGACTTGTTACAAAAATAACTTCTTTTACTTCAAGAAGTTTTGTTTGCTGATCATGATATTCAGAAATTGTTAGCTCACTTCAATGTAATGAAGACAAGCTTGTGTGATGTATTATTCTGCCTTTTCTGAATGTGCTACAAATATTACAATATTCAAGTTTACTCAAGTTTGTTTCATAAGTTATAAATGACTACTGTTCCTGGCACAGGCCCTTCATTTGAATTGGCCTTTTTCAAGTTATAACCGAGTTTTTAGTATGGCAAAAATACAATATTTCAAATATTATAAAATTATTTCCAATAATGTAAGAAAGTAGGTTGTTTTAGCATAGTTTCATTTTCTTATTATATCAGTAATGTCACAATGAAAATCATGTTTTTTAATGTTAATTGTCATATTTTGAGCAACAAAATATTTAAACTTACGTATTTGATATTTGGGTTTTAATGCGTTCATTGAAAAAATAAGTGTTTTATTATTTAGTATAAGAATTAGTATTATTAGTATTAGTATATTAGTTAGTAATAGAAGAAAAAAAGTCTTGTATGCAAGGGAGGTACAGGGGCGAGTCTTTATTGAAAGGGAGGTACAGCAAAGTGGGATGTACTGTAGAGGTGGTATGTGTGGGAAAGGAGGGGCTTCCCACCATACTCATGTGAAATCTAGCGGATCGTACCCCTACTCCTTACCTGCTTTCGATCCCCCAATTTATTTACACAAAAGCAAATAAGGCACCCTATCGACAAAATTAACCAAACTGTGCCTGTGAAATTTGACATCCACATTGGGGCTAAAATTGTATGTGTGATGCATGGGATTACTATATCAGACCACCATCTGTATTAAATTTCTTTTATACTATGGCTTTTTAATTTTTTCCAAACAGAAACTTCCTTACCTTGTATTTTTCAACAAAACTGTTTGAATGTAAGGAAAACATTCACACACTTCCAAAGGCATTCAACTACAAAGAACCTGTAATCTGAAGAAAATCAGGTTCTAAAGACCAAGATCTGACTTAGTGGGATTGGGACTATGGCTACACATGTTGGAGCTTATGTTCTCCAGCTTTTACAGGCAATTCTGGAATTGAATGCAATTAATAGATCATCAAATTTTTTTCAAAATGTGCATTTTCATTCCGGGTTTTTAATATTTTCCACATAGAGCAAGGACCACAACACTGATGAAGTCAAAAGTACCCTAAGACACTAATTATTCATAATTTCTATCCTAGTGAAAATATTATTTTTAGTTTCAGTTTCCTTTCATTGCAAAACAATATCGTTATATGGTTTTACTCTTATTATTTTGATAGAACTATCCATGTAATCTGTGAAAAATTAACTGGCTTCCCTTTTGAAAATATGTTTCCCAATAGCAGTTGTATTGTCTGATTGTTAACTTTTTTCACACAACTGTTCTGGAGGTGAGCAAGTGATTTAGCCAACTGTGAATTTAATGGTAGTACATACTGTAAAAGAATAAATTTACACAAGAACATTTACTGTAGCTTTATTTTTTTATTACCTTTCTTTACTGACATGTTTACACTAGATTTAATAAATTTTTAAATTTGCTGCAATATAATGTCCAAGAGTTGTACACTGCTTGAACGAGTTCTCTAAAGGAGGTGTCATTGAAATTATCTTACAAATTATGACATGTGTTTCTCTAAATTATTGATGAATTTCCTGAAATAGTTCAACAAATTACATGAAAATATCACTCTCATTAGATCATGCCTTGAAATGGACACATTTTCATTATTCTTCCTTTGCTATTTAAACATGATCTGAGAATTCAATGTCTTATCCATTAAAAATCTGTACTATGATGAATGGACTATGAACATAACTGTATGTCAATTTTTACTGAAGTATGATTCAGAGTACAGATCAAAAAAAATTATGCTAATAAATATTCCCCAATTATACCATATGAAAGTTCCTGAATATTCAACATTTTACCATTAACAACATATGCTGTATGTATGACTGAACATATGTATCAAATTATTACTACAGAATTTATGTACAATAATTTGCATGATTTTTAACGATAAATTATATTCAGTCAAATGAGAATGATGATTGAGGCAATACCGTATTACTGAATCCATCATTTTTCTTCAAAATAACACACAGACAAAGTAAGAAAATTCTTTCTCTAACACAATTATTAATGATTGGGTCGCATGCGGCAAAGAAATCGCAATTGAAGCAGCTTCACATCACCTTGTGCCAATTTAACCACTCCTTCTTGAGTGTCAATAGACAACAGTTGTCCTACTGCTTCTCTATCCTCCCCAAAGATAACCTTGACATGATCATTGCGCTGAGGAACAACAGGTTCTAGATGTTCAGATAAAACAGTAACAGTTCGATCTTCATCCATCAAATACACAGAACACGTCCCACCCTGAAAGGGAGAATCTATTGTAAGCTCTTTTTCATTAATCACGATTGATAACAGGTAAGTATTTGTTATTTACTCACCGAGATGCCTTTGATAACACCTGTCTGACCATTGAGTCCTGGATCCTCATGCGAGTCACGAATACGCACTTCAATATCGGTTGTGTGCCAGTCTTGAGAGTGTAATTGTTGGTCCAAACCTAATGACAAAAACTTGTTAGCGGTAATATCTATCAAAAACCAGACTGCCTATTGAATTGAGAATACCCACCTGATCCAGGAGTCTGAGGGTTGAAGGGAGAAGGTGCACCTCCTGGAGTCATCGGGCTATAGCCTAGAGGAGACGGGGTGCTGTACTGCACATTGCTAGTAGGAGACGGAGTGTATCCAGATGGACTTGGTGTGGCCACGTATCCTGATGGAGTTCCCGCTGCACAAATTGAATAATTATATAAATCTTATTAATCTCATCTAATACTACCACATCAGGTAAAATGCAATTCTGAATTACTCATGTTAGTTTCATGATTTCATTGAAGATTTGGATAAAATAAAGCACATCTAACAATGAAATTGCATGTTATCATCTGATGTTGCAATAAACACAGATATACAAGTTATGACATTTGTCCACTGAATAACAGTACTTCAGCTTTCACACTTTGTTGAGTTGAGAACTAGTCTGCAGTCATCAACATGACAGCTGCGAGTACACTAGTCATTCTCCCAACTTCACAGACCAGTCTATCTGAACTTATAGTTGGTGCTTCAATTGAAGGAAAGCTCCATTTGTGCTGAATAAACTGACTCCACAAATAAATAATGACTAAGTTTATATCTGAGAGAGTTATATTTAGCAGATTCTTACCCTGGTAAGCTGTAGGCGAGGGTGAAGGTTGATAGGGAGAATAAGAGTGGTCAGATCCGTACATTCCTCCAGGAGTCTGAGGAGTGTATGGACCAGCAGCCTGGTACCCAGGGGTACTAGGGTTGTATCCAGGAGACGGTGAAGCATCATCCAATGGATTTATATCAAATTCGCCACTTCTTGAAGGAGTGTTTGTAATGCTAGGATCCCACGCATGACTTGGTGTACGTGAACCATCATGCGATGGGGTCATGCTGCCCAAATGTGGAGTGCGTGAACCAGCTGAAAAAAATTACACCATTTGAAGAAGGTAGAAACATTCATATCAACACAGGCGAGTACAAAACAAAAAGAAATAAAATACAACCTTCATAGAGAGGAGTCTGTGAACCATGCATAGGTGTTTTGCTACCCTCCCTGTACATGGGGGTCTGATTCCCAGCTCCATATGCTGGAGTACGGCTGTAGGATGAAAAGCTCCCATCCTGAAAGAAGGATAAATAAGTCTCAAAAACAATTCAAGTCATCACAAATATTAAGTACATGTGACGTTGAATCCTCACCTTTGTTGGAACACCCACATTGGCAATATGGGATCTATCTACAGATATGGTCTGGCAGGTAGAATGCAGCTCAACACGAGCAGTGCATTCAGTGGCATCTTTCACTATACCAATGTTGCCTTTATAGTGTCCACTGGTAATCTTGATAGTTTGTCCTATGAGTTCCCTATCACGTCTTATCCCTGCTCCTCTCCCTCGTCCCTTTCCTCTACCACCACCCTCAGCCCCTCGAACCCCAGCACCTCCGCTTGGGTGCATGGGAGAAGAAATATGCGGCGACATGAAACCCATAGGTGGCCCACTACCCAAGGTATTTGAACTTGCCTGCAAAAAACAACCATTATTGTAATATAAAGGCAGTACCTTCATTATTTTGACAAAAAAAAACAAATAAACTCTTATGATAATTTGACATAGTTTGTAGTAATCTACTCCCTCAAAAGATTTCATTTTCATGTTAACATATTTGCTACTGTCAGGCAAGAATTTCAAACATACTGTGCTATTTTGAGAGGTTGAGGAGGGGTGAGATCATCAGCGGTAAGTTCAGTGCAACGCCAGCAAGACTAAAGTTGTGTGGGTTCAGGTATTACTCGCACAACTTTTCTTGAATGATGGATTGTAGAGATACGGGTAGAATGGGGGTATTAAATACGAAATCAGCCACTAGATTTTATGAAGTAATGTGAATCTCTGGAGTCAGTCATGCCTTCGCAACTTTCTCAATAATTTTTTGTGTTCTAACTTTCTCAGGAGTTCGTGGTATTTCCTGCGATAATCTTCAACAGCTTCGGTAATTTCTTTAGAATGTTTGGAGAAAATCACGGACAGAAGTTCTCACTTTCAACAGAAAATGGTTTCTATTTCACGCCAGTGAAGATGTATTTGGAAGGTTGTAATCAGTGTTCAGAGCTTTTGCCTTCAACTGTTTCTTTTACCAGAGACGGGGAAGCAAGATCATCATTCAAGAAAAGTTGCAGGATTAATATCATTGCTGCCACAACAAGACTTTGTTGTCAATATCCCCCTCTTCTCCTCAACACAACAGAGCAGAGTATTTGAATTGCACACACATAAGCAGGAGAGAGAAAAAAAAAGTTCTTCTATAAATTGAACCATGGGTTTACATACATTACTTTTTTATTGGAATAATTGAGACATCTGTATATTCAAAACAGGTCAATGAGCTTACATTTACTGCTTACCTTTGACCCTCCTGCCAATTGCAAATGCCGGGTTTTGCACACAAATATTCCACCATTATCTAAATACATTCTTGAATGTAGAAATGCAAAATTGCGATACAAATGTTTAATTTCTCCATCTCTTCCCTAAACAGAACACAATAAAAATTGCACAGTACTTTCAATATATATAATCACTCACTCAATTCCTGTAAAATAAAATATCTTACCGAGTGGGGACCATCAATGACTTTCACAATATCTTTTCTTTGTATTGTGTTTTGTTCTGAATCTAAAGCCATTGTGAACCGGGATTCTTTTCTTTTTTGCAATGCCTGAGGCTTCACTTCTATCACTTTGTCATGCATACTTAATACATGGAAATTCTCTCTCTCAAGACGTACAATAACACCCACAGTCTGTGGACTAAGAAAAAAATAAATTACACTACAAGATGTTACATAAACACACATGTATGAAAAAGGAAGAAAAAATCATCTGGCTAATTTTCACAAGAAATACTTATCCTTGTCTAAATAGTTTTCAATTAAGAATAATTTACATTTCAATCAAATTCCAAAGATTATATTTATATAATTCAAGTTAGAATCTTATAAATTTCGAAGAAAATGCTACATCCAGAATTCTAAGAAAGTGTCAAATCTCGTCTCCTGGGAGAAGAGACATACTTGTCAATATGAAGTAGCAACAAAGTTACTGTTTCATATAATGTTCTCCAAATAACATTTTCTCTAAAAGGGATATGATAGTTTTGGGTTTGAGCTTCATTCTGGATGTAATATAGAGGGAAGAATTTTTACTTTTATTTTATGTTTGAATCAAAGTAACAATTGTATTTATCTATACATCAGGATATATATCTCAGTTGCATTTCATAATAAAAAAAAACAACACTTTTACAAATTCTCTCTCTCAATTTAATAGAAGTACACTTTTATCAATCATGTCTGTAGGTCCTAGAGTAAGAATAAAATTTCAAATTCAAAGAATTGGTTTTTGTATTAACCCTTCAGAGTGGAATCGCTTTACTGCATCTCTCTCTCTCTTTACAGCTGATGCAGAAGGATTTTCCAGAGAGCTACACATGATGCACATTGTTCGCTCTACATTACTAATGTATTGTGCCACAGTTTGCAAAAATGTTTATGTAATTTTTTTTTCATTCAGTACTGTTATAAATAATAGATACGTTTTATGTGAATATTTACATGAATTCTTGAAACGTTTATTATTGTTAATTTACTTCCAAAAGACTTTCAAATTTCAAGCCAGATCGCAATCGTTACAGGACAGCATTTTCCAAGACTGTAGAATGATCTGATTGGTATTTTGATTGATGATGACTGACTAAACTTTGGATACACATGTGACTGACTCAAGCTTCAAGCAGTTTCATTAAAATACATGGCCTACTGATTCAATTGGAAAATGCTGCATTCAAATGCAAAACAGTGAAAAATGAGAATACTCACTCTATCTGTACACAATCTCCCCATTGATACTGGCCAAGAGAATCAACTCCTGTTGCCATGTCTGGACTCAGTTGTACATCTTTTGGAAGGACTTCCAGTTCATGCATGGTGAGATCAGAGAATAAAACTACACGATTTTCTTCCACACGCACTATAAGTCCAGTGTCTCCTTCATATCGTCCAGCCAACACCTTCACATGGTCACCCATGCGAAAGAACTTCCTTAATTCACTTGCTTGAAATTCCAAAGGGTCCTAAAGCAGATAAGACATAGTTATATTCATGAAATAAAGCAATGTATCAAGAGTGCTTTTTTAGCAGAATATACAATAACAGCCTAACTAATAAAGGTTTGGTCTAAGTCAGGAGTCACGTTTACTCCGGAAATACTAGACTCAGAGTAAGCATGGAGCAAACCAGAGTAATTTTTTACAAACGAGATAATCATCTACCTAAGAGAAGTAAAAAGAAACACACATAGAGATAAAAAATATTAATAATAATAATTTACAACAAAATGTGTTAAAACAAACATTGAAATTTTTAGGACCGATTGGCATCGATGACACAAGAACAATAAACAAAATACATCAGTAATCTTATACGGAATACATCAACGTCATTCAAAGAATGTTCTAAAATAACAGGAGGGGGTGCAATATAATTTAGATGTAAATTCTTAGAGGAAGACGATTAAGCATAAATGAACATACATTAGTTTACATTCCATTGTGTGACTGGTCTAAGAAATTGTGAAGGAGAATTTAAAATAGGATACATCTAAAACAAATATGATAGTAATGGGCAACATCAAATCTAAACACACAACTCAGTTATATTCTAATTGTGATAAAGGTATGATCAATGATGTAAATATGTTGCGAGGGGGACATTTCGTGTGTGTGTGTGTGTGTGTGTGTGTGAGAGAGGGTCACTGCTGTTGCTAACCTTGAAATAGGAGTTTTAAAGCGAATTTGCAGTAAAACTTCACTTATACGTTTATCTGGGGACTGAAGGAAAAAGTGTATAGGTGAGAAGAACGCATAAGTGAAATATTACAAGCAAAACAACTCAATATTTACATTGGCATGCTCCTAGACCTGCTCACAGGGACTGGTACTAATGTTACTTTTGATTTATTTAGTCAAAGAAAAGTAAAAATTGAATATGACATAAGAGCGAGGAGTACCATGTTTTCTTCAACTCCAGCATCTCTTTCCAACATTTTAACTATAAATCATTAAATAATGAAAACAAGTTTGAAAAAAAGAAGTTAGTAGCTTTTGAAAACCAGACATTATGTTCCTGAGTTGTAGACAAGTTATTTGCATAGGTAAATAAACTGCAGATATGTTTGTATTGCTAACAAAATAGTTACATATCCCTGGCGCTAACCTACCACTATACTATTACTATATACTAACACTACACTATATACTAACAGAAGTTATAGAATTTTCTTGAAAGAAATATTGTTTGATATTCAGTTTACCAATATTAGCTCATTAAAGAGACAAGCGTTTCAAGCCATTTGAATCTCACAAAGTTTATATTATGCTACTTTTAATTATTTTGTAATTGGACAATAGTCCACATAAGACAAGACAATGTGCATTTTTTCTCCAATAACACACATTGCAAAAAGCTGTGCTTTTTTTCGTAAGGTAGTGTTTATCCAGGACTCATGTTAAGTGACTGATGTGCCCAGGCACCAACACAGCTGATATAAGTTACATGTGTCAGACCAATGCTCATGTGACACAAGAATAAATATCATTATAAATCTTTGATTCTCTCTAGTTTCAATATTTCCTTTATATGTGCTGAATTTTTATTGTGCAATGTTGGTAAACATTATGCTAAGCCGTAATGGACGACACTGGTGCCCCTATTTTTTCCATCTTGTATTTTTGTCCAAAATTCCCAATTGGACAGTTGAAACGCCTAGTGTAGTGATGAAATTGTCTGAATAATGAATTCAACACAAAAATTCCATGGGCTCCTCCATGATAACATAAATCTACTCATGCTTCAAAATCAGTAGGTCTAAAGGAAAACTAACTTTATTAAGGTCTACCAGGGGAAAAAAAAAAAAAAGGTAATAAAAAAGTGGTTAGCAGCTGTATTAAATCTAATGATTGAAAGCACACAGCTAAAATGTCTGCCAACAGAATTGTCTACTACTACAAAGCTTATCATTTAAATGTCTACTAGCTAAAAGTCTAACAGAAATGTCTTACAGTATTCCGTTAAAATATTCTGTCAATATGGAGCAAGTTGAAATAATGATATCACGCAATGATAACTGCAGACAGCGAAATTATGTCTTCTTGATAGGATTAAGTTATCATCTGAGATTGCAACCAAATGAAGTAGAAGAAACTGATGAATGATTTTAATAAAACTCTCTCCTATTCATTAACTGCATATTTTATAAATATTTGTTTCAAGTTTAACATGCATTTATAATTACACTTTCTAACAAGTCTAATAAACTTTCATATGTAGATCCTTTTTATACGTAGAAATATTAATTTTTGTATGTATACATACTTGCATTAGACAGGTTTTCACGTAGACTAGCACAATGTGTAGACATTCATTATGCAGACCCTTTAGAGTTAGACCTCAAATATTAGACATTCTTTATGTAGACCTACTGACCGGTAACTGTACTCATTTATTGGTCACTTTTTATCATTTGGATGTTCCAAGGTCTTAAAGGGACTTTCTTTACGAATATATAACCGTGAAAAATGTATCAACATAAAAGCCATATCAGAATTAATTTAGCATAGGAAATATATACGAATTTATCTGGGACTTACAAAAATTAATGTATAAACATGAAAAACATTAGTGCAAAATGTACAAACGGAGTTTCACTGTACATCGTTTTTGCATGTTTACAAAACTATTTTCTGTAATTTCAATTAAACAACAAACACCAATTACACATGGGCACATGAAATAATGGTAACCCTTACACATACAGTATTTGCAATGTGTTCAGCCTCCAGGCCACAGATAGTTGAATACTTACTGATAAAGCCTCATGTTTTGGCATTACTGTGATCAGATTGCCATCAATAGCAATGATTTTGCCCTGTAAATTCATCAATTCTCCTTCACAGACTTCCACATTGTCACCTGCTGAGAAAGAATGTCCTACTGTATCATCTTTCCCAGGTGCAACAGTGGTTGGAAGTTCTATGTCAACTCCCTCAGGAGCTTCTTCAAATCGCTCCAATTCTGATAATGTTGGTTTCACTCCTGCAAGAAAATAACCATTTAATATTCTCTACTTAATTAACATTCCAAGTGAGTTAAACTTAATATTCTCTTACCATCAGCCACAATAGCGCTGGTTGTAAAGTTTTTGTATAAAAACCCTTTTCTTGAATATCTATTTCCCTCAAAAATTAAGAAATCTCCATCACTGGTTACTTCACCACCAATAGAACGTATGGCTTCAGCATCGAATGGTTTTGCAACAGGGCGCTTTTTCCTCTTACGTTTTGCTGCATCATTTTCCTGAAAATACAATAGAAATACAAATGAACAAGAAGTGAAGTAAAAATAATGCCAGAAAACAACAAAAAAGTACTAACAGACTGAGATGTTCGGAGAGCTCCACGAGGTCGTGAATAGTCAATGCGAGGCAACAATTTTAGATGCACTTGATTTTGAGCTAGATCCACGTAGTCCACTTGGGCAATATCATCCTTGTATAAACCTGAAAAATCCAATTAATAGTACTTCTGGCAAAGCTACAATAAGAAAAAAGGAATGTAATGATGCATACCTCTCTTTAAGCGAACCCACTGCTTTGGTTTTAATCCAGTCTGTTCTTTAACCACACGCAACACATCTGTCATTTCCTTAATCGGCACCATCTACACACAACATTCATTAGATGCACAAAGTCTAGTACCGTATTAAAATGAAAAACATGCAAATCACTTTACTCACCTGCTGCTGCCATTGCCCCATGCGCAAGTTGCCCACATTTGCAATTGCTGCTTTTACATGAGGTTGCTTATAGGCCTCCACATAGATGTATCCCTTCACTCCCTCAGGGGCAACAACAGACTTGATTTGCAATGGCTCACTCGTGAACTGATAAGCAATAAATTTGCGCATAAGTAGTAGAGCTGTGCTCTTTTCTTCACCAATGCGACATTTCACCATCCATAAATTTGGGTCCCTGAACAGAGTACATTTTATTCATGTCACAAAGGCAGAGAAAATTTCTACAATCTGCAGTAAACTCAATACTCACTTCACTCCAGGCAACAGAGTCTGTTGAGTGATTTCATCTGACATCTCTTCACCACCATCACCAAAATGTCGGGCAGCAACAGACTCATCTGCATATTTCTTACGTAGATATTCCTCAATTTCATCTTCTTTTTGGGAACTGGGGATAGAAATGACAAATATATCAATGTTATATAAAAATGAGTCAAAGCCACAAAATAAAATAAATAGAAAAATGCCTCACTCCCAAAGGTTTGTTCCTCTGCGTCGCCCTTCAATCTCTCGTGCAGTGGGCCCATGCTCGTCAAATTCATTGCCCACGATGCCAATCTCCTGGGCTCCCTCCTCCCAGTCCTCTTCATCCTCCACTTCATCATCCACCTCTGCTTCATCGATGATGAATCCTCCAAACCGATCTTTCTTTTTCTTCTTCCTTCGACGGTCTTCTTCTTCATCTTCATCCTCCTCTTCATCGTATTCCTGTGTACCATCAAACATTACCATCAATTACTACATTCTGTGCCTGACAAGCTTAGGCGAGGCTTCTATACATTTACACATTCAATGAATTCAACAGTAAAATTAGAACATTAAAACTGATAATTTTAGTCACTTAACTTTTCACAGACTTTTTCAGCACCCTTTTATAACAATATGTAAGCTAGGATTTTGATGATATTTCACCATTTTTCTACTTCAGTTTCTATTCAGAAACATTTCTGCTTTGGGATTAACAAATTTTATGTCATTTTAAGGTTTTTGTGGTGTATTTCTTAAATTAGGTAAAGAAATAGGCAACAAACCACATTATGATTTGTAACAATTTAAAATAAAAGCAAATTAAAATTTAATATTTGACATTTACACAATTTCAATAATACACATAAAGTTATCTCCAGAAGTAGGGCCTATAATATATTTTTTCTTTACGCCTCATGTTTGAAAGTAAGGAGAATTTAATAATGTTCAAAATAAAACTAAGTTTAAAAATAAATATAATATATTAATACAGTATGTAATTTGCAATTAAATACAGAAGTATGTAGAATGCTACAATTGAAAACTTGCAATGTGTTTTTCTCAAATCACAGTTTTGGAATATAGGAAATTCCTTCTTCTAGCCACCACTTCAATTACTTCTCATTTCCGAGGCATTTGAGACACTTATAAATCTTTTGCATAACGTGTAAAATATAAATTTTTCAATTCATATTAATGGGCATAAAGTCAAGACATAAACAGCCCATAACACTTGACTGCATTAAATTACACCCCATAACCTTAAGAGTTAATTCTTAGACAAAGTCACCCCAACTAGAATAAACAGCTTTCTAGATATGAACAAAATTTTCATACATTCTGAATGTGGATTCAGCCACCAGTACAGCTGTTGCTAACTTTAATTGTATAATCATAATAATTATATAAATTTAAAAATAGTGATCAGAATAATTAACTAAACATTTTATAAATTATATAAAAAGTTAAGTAATTAAAAACCAATGATTTAACACTTGCATTCCTATATTCCTCGCTGTAGCTTGTTCTTAAGTTTAAAGAGTATGAAGCAAAATGAAATGAAGGAGAAAATTCTTTCTCATGTTCATTTATATTACCAATTTCACAAATTGCAGGAATTATTTTCACCTTTTAATCTCCCATTTTCGGCATCTAAACTAGGAGCTTTTAGAGCCTAAAAATTTGATGTCTAATAATAATTCACCTCTTCAGAATTCAGGTCCTCTCCTTCTGGTTCTTGTTCATCTTCCACCTCTTCGTCTTCCTCACCAGCAGCAACTTCTTCAGCTTCATCTTCCCGTGCACCTAAAATACATAAAGGTGCTTTTAAATACTAGGCGAATATCAAAAGTGTGATCAACACCGATTTCCAGTGCTACCTGAGTGGCGACTCCCTTCACTTTTCTCTGAATGTTGTTCATCATCAGACCCGTTACCGTCATCTGAGTGAGCAGCTTCTGATCTATTGTCACCATCTCCCTCTTCATCACTGTTCGCAGCCGAGTGGGCATCCTAAAATAAAACAAATTGCAACATAAACCAGAGAATAACCATAATCTTCTTGAACAGCTGGCAATTATTGTTAATAATAAAATAAATGTAACACAATAAGTAAAAAATTGGTATGAAACTTTACATATTACGCAACTTAAAAGAAAGAATTAGTAACATTCATGAAAGTCTGTATGTAGTATTGAGAATTTTCTACTTGACATTAATGAGAACAATATCATTGTATGCATCTTTACACTGTTCACCATTTTATGCAACACATTTTGGAAAACTTCATAAGGAGCAGATCATATTTAGTATTTTAACATTGAAAACTAAGATTACTCTCACCTAAATTTCACCCATAATAATGAACATATTACTTACTTGAAAATTAAGAAAATACAATGATATGGCTACTTCTTTTTTTATTCATGGAATATAACAATAACAACAATAACAAACTTATTGAGTGTTGCAGGACTAGTATGAAGTAATGGGGTACCAGGTTACTAACACACAGGAAAAAGAAAGAGGTGGAAGTATAATCAAGAAGTATTCAGATTATTAGGGAATTTTTCAAGGAGATTCGCAATACCCTCTGCTGTCATGAATTTGTTGGATCCCACTATCTACACATTTGTCGCAAGCTGACTTTCGTTACAAGCTCCATGGTGATGAAAGACTAATATCACATTTGTTTCCAATAGATAATCTTACAGTGTTTGCTATGAATGAAGCGATTCCCTCCCAAATAGTGCTTGTCACCAATAATTTTAGCAATGACATCTTTTATATAGTTTGGTCTTGACCATGGCAAAAATCAACTCAAAAAGAGGCAAAATGACAATGATCGATAACATTTAAGTTGATATGCACACGGTGATTCAAAATCTTGAGCCAAGTAAAACCTACAAATATCTGGGCATTGAAGAATGTCAGACCATATCGAATGGCACAATGATAAAGAGAATTTGCAGGAAGTATTATAAAAGAGTGAGACTTGTCCTGCAGTCTGCTCTGAACTCTGAATAAAATATTTACAATGGGTAGTTTGACGGTACCTGTAGCCGAATACAAGACTTGTTTCATCTGTTTCATACTTGTGGACTGGACTGAGCAAGAAATTTGAACCATGGATTGAAAAAAACAGAAAACTGCTTACAATGCATCATGTCGCCCACCATCGAGCTGATGTACACAGACTTAATGTGTCACATAAGGAAGAAGGGCATGGCCTCAGATACATTGACGCAATAGTCGGGATGGAAAAGTATGAAGTCAGTCATCAAGATGACCCAGTAATGAGGCAGGTCATAAAATCTGACCAAAGAATGGAAAACAGGAATTTTAAGTGTAGCAAGAAGCATTGCAAACAAGACTATGCAAGACATGCATTGTAAGAGAGACATTGAACTTTTGATGCTACTTAACATGAAATGCGAGACAAAAAATGTTGAAGAAATCATGAAGAGGCAAACCACTCCGTCGACAGTATGTGAAAAGAATGGGCAAGGTGCAGACCAATCATTTATGTGGCTCAAAAAGGGAAGAATGAAGCTACAATTGGAAGCAGTTTTAATAGCTGACCAAGATCAGGCATTGAGAACACATTATGTGGTTACAAAATTTCCCAAGGTTATAAATGCTGCATTTGCCAGAAATGAGAAGAAACCATTGATCATACCACCTCAGCTTGTCAATTCTAGCAAAGACCGAATACTTGAAAAGACACAACAGGGTGTGTTAGTTACCTCCACTGACAGATCTGCACCACTCTCAAAGTTTCACTCTCAAAGTTTCAAATACAGGTGTCAAGTGATACGAACACTCACCAAAATCGGTGATGTCTGTTGGACTGTGTACAATATTATTTGACCAACAAATTCACACCGATTGTACAATAGCGGCAAACAAATCGGATATTGTTATCGACGATTGGAGAAAAAATTGTGTCTATTTGTAAATGTAGCTGTTCCAAGTGATCAAAATGCCATAACCAAGGAGGTAGAGAAATAGAAGAGATTGGAAATCAAGATCGGCTGAATATGGGGCATAAAATCACTGGCCATAGTTATCGAAGCTCTGGGATTTATTCTGGGAAATTTGTGTAAGAACTTGGGTAACTTCCAGATCTTTCAAAAAACTGGGAAGTGTAAGACATTGCTTTGTTTGGAACAGCCCACATTTTGTGCAAAGTGTTGTTGATGCACCAATAGCCACTGGATCTGCTCCTTAGGAAGCTGGTTGCAACCCCAAGTTGACTTAATAATCGTAATAATAATAATAATAATAATAATAATAATAATAATAATAATACTTTAGAAAGGTCTTATTTTAAGTTACCATTCTTCTCAATATTTAAAATAAGAGAAAACATAATAAAATTGTTAATGTACAATAGTAAAAATTGCTATTATCACCACCTTGTTATTTAGGTCTAGAAATTAATATAACATGCCCATACTAGGGGTTATTTTGAACAAAGGTCTACTTGTTTTTAATGATAATGATAATAATAAGAACAACAACATCAATACTTTTTAAAAAAATCCACAGTCCCAATTAGTCAGGGCTTGGGGCAAGTTAAGACACACAGCCCCCTGTGGGTGTCTGTGTATGATGTCTCCTTTACACTTAGGTAGAATGGATAAGAAAAGTATTTTTTAAAGAGATGTAATACATTTTTTCAAAGCTGGGAGAAAAAGTGGATTTTATCTTCAGAAATAACGGGCAAAAGTGAAGCATTCACTCCCTAGGGAGATAATATTTAATACCGAAAGATTAAGTATTGTCTCTCTTGTTCACATTACGACAGTGAAAACAAACAACGCACACGTGTAAAACTTAATATATTTGAACACAATGAGAAACAAATGATTTATACTTCTTTACTTCCTCACCAAAATAAAACCAGCAAGATTATATTTGTATAAACTGCCTGTTATTCATTCACATTAAAGAATAAGTTTCAATGTGATTAAAGACAGTTAAAACAGTTTATTTACATATGTCACACAAAAAACAGTTATATTTGTTAAAGCACATTCTTTTTCAAAACGCATTTCGACAAATTTTGTTTGCCATCTTCAGGTGGTCAATGGTGAAAATATCTTATGAGAACATACATAAAACTGAGACATCATACTTTGGGAGAAAGTTGAATCATAATCTATGTGGAGGTGGTCAAATTGGTGAACAGAGCTACCCTTGGTTTGAGCATGGCCGAACCAAGGTTGGATGTCCCTTGACTTCTAGCCCTGGTCCAGCCATGCTCACATTTCATGAATTTTAAATTCCATAACTTAATGCTTTAAATGTATTTTCTGAAACAATTATGGTCATGAAAAAAATTTCATATACACCTTGGGGGAGAAATTATTTTTCAATAGGTATAATAGTAGCCCTCCGCCTACAATTACACCTTGAGAAAAATAACGCATTTCTCTCCCTTGATGTATATTATTACTACCTACTATTAATTAAATAATTAACAATTATATTACTCATAAGCAGATTTATAATATATTTTAAGTGAGACGAATAAATACAATTTTCATCATCATACACAGCATGGTAAGTGTGTTGCCTGATCTTGTTTTCCAGTATATCTTGTAGGGTTTTAGTTCTCTGATACAACCATTTGTTTCTAATCCTACATTGTATTCCTGATCTAGCCATTTCTTTTGTGGTCTCCCCACATCTCATTGCCCTATCCCCTATAATTCAATGCTTGCCCTGGGAAACTGTCATGTGGGAAAACCCATTTCTTCTTCTGACCTTCCTTTATTTCTTCCACTACGTTCTTAGTTTTAAGCCTTTTTTAAATATCTGTTCTCCTTTGCCGGTCCCTTAATGAGATTCTTTTGAGATGACCTAGGGATTTCATCAACATGATCATGGTCTTTTTTGATCCCTAGTTTTCTTTTTCCAAACTTTTAATCTGTACATGAATTTTTGTTTAGAATTCACATTATGTACTCTTAATTTTGTCTCTTGAGTCACATCCCTTCTGAAATGTCACTTGATTAGCCCACTTGTTCTTTAGTATTTCTGTCCAAATATAATGCGAATATGGCAATTTTTGTTCTACTTCCTTTTCTGAGATCATTTTGTTCCTCTCCCAGGAATGTCTCATGGTATTCACTCAGTCTGTTTCTTAATGAGTTAGCAAAGGATTCTGATATTCTTGATAAAATTAATAGAATTTTAAATGATATAATGTGGAATTATATCGTATGAAATGGTACCTTTATACACTATCAAATTATTTATTATTCTATGGATATAATATTTTCATAATTCTGACAATTGTAAAGTGTGATTGAAGGGGGGGAGGGGAGTTAATGGTATGAAAATAAAATTACTATACAAATGATTTTTGCTAAATATGTTAACTAAGAGTGGTTACAAGTAATTACCTAAGTTCGCTTATTTAGACAATATTATTGGACAGAAATACTACAGAATAAGAGGGCTAATCAAGTGACATTTCAGAAGGGATATGCCACAAGAGGCTTTTGTTTTAAGCTCCAAATTGGTCATCTGACATGTAGTGCAGTATGTGTATGTATTAGGTTAAGTTAACATTAATTATAGGTGTTGACATTCCAAACAACATAATTTATTAAATGAGCAGCTTTCAATGACTTAGCCATCATCATCAGTTTCCTGCCATTTGGAAGCCACGTGACTACTAGCAGTCATTTTGTGGCTTCCGAACAGGAAACTGATGATGATGGTTAAGCCATTGAAAGATGCTCTTGTAATAAATAATATTTTTGGCAATGACAATGCCTATAAGTATTTCATTTTAAATGCAAATGACAACTTCCTGCTAAAACTAAAAGTTTTATTGATGCTATTTTGAAACCTTAATTGTAAATTACTCATTACTGATTTGAAAGTGCTTATATTTCAATTAATACATTTCTGACACTCAGAAAATGTGACATGCGAGACTTGCATTAATGCTGTTATCCTCTGCTAAGTGTGAAGTACAATATATTAAAACAAGATATCCTGAACCTCTTCAATTATAAATTCATTTCAAGAATTTCATAATAACTGAATAGGTAAACTTAATAAAGTATTCAAAGGAAATAAAACATAACATAATGAAGCATATTTAGGTTAGATATTTTGGAATTCATGCACTACAATCGCAGATTTGACAAAATAAATGGCAAATTGAATACATTTACATAATAACAATGTGTATTGAATATTATTCTATTGTAATGTATTTCTGATTAAAAAACAAGCAGTTACTTGCTGAATAAGCAGTTTTTATTAGTGGAAGTACGCTATACATGCTACCAATTCATGCTAATTAGCTAAATCCTTTCATACTTACATTTTTAAACTACATATAATCAGTAGTATTGCTAATAGTATCTAAATATGATCTAAGATTATAAATATCTACTAAAACTAGTGAATTTGAGCATTCATCAAGCTTTTTCATATGCTAGACTTTGGGTCCAGAGGGTATTCTGTCAAATTTTAAAACCCAGTTTTTGATCAAATTTATAAGCAAATGTTTAATCATACCTCGGCTTCGCTATCACTGCCTTGCACGCTCCCTGCCTCACTGGCATTGTCAGAATTGTCGCTCGCCTCAGAATCCGACATTCCACAACCCTAGTAGTAATCAAATTTACATAAAAACATTACCGTGCACCAACCCATACAACCAGAACAACGTAAGTCATTATAAAACTAATGAAAACTTACTAGAAATAAATTTCCTGCCGATAAAAAGTATAGATCAATCAAAATATGTTAACATTTGGGGAATGTTATTTCTCTGGCAATATACGGTCCCACTACAGGAACAGGGGAAAACAACTTCACGACAAATCTATAGACCCGCGTTATATTCTGGCGCAGTGCTGCCCTCACAATGTCGGCTTGCCAGACTAATTGGTGGCGGGTATTTTGAAATTAATGTTCACCAATGACATTCGGTTTATTGATAGGTTGTTTCAACAACACTATTAGTACTGCTTCTATCGCTGTTTTGCCGCTGCTCCTGCTGCTGCTACCGTTCCCGCACCAGCTGATGACCTTTACCACTATCACTACCATTTATTTATTTTATTTACATGCGTCAAAAACAGTTAAAACTGTGTGTGACGTGCCAGGGGGAGAAGTTAATTTAAAGTTACATTTATGTACTGAAGCAAAACAATGAGCCATCTCATCATTTGCTTAAGGAGCAGGGAAACTAGACGAAAACCTGATCGAGATGGGGGTCATTGACCCAGATGCTGAAGTACAATACTTGTTACAGGATCTTTAGAATTATGCAGTCCAAATTGTAAATAATAGATTGTCGTTCTTAAAATTATATAGTCTCGATATAGACTCTATCTAAACAGTTGTGTAGCAGAAAAGATGATAAACTATATATATATATATATATATATATATATATATATATATATATATTGTATGTGATTTTTTTTGGTGTGAGCTGTTGATATTGTCACCTGATGAATATGATTACTACGTTGTGTGTTGTAGTTACAGACAACGGCGTTTGCTAAAAATATACTCCCGCCCTTAAGTATTTTTTGACAAAAAAACTGATTCTTATATCAAGAGACAAGTTAATGGTAAAATACCTTGATTAATAAAGAGAGGCTTACAGTAATCACGTGGGTGGGATTTGCTTATTATTCGTTCAATTCTTTTTTGTAATCTAAAAGTCTGTGAGCTATAGGATGTATTTCCCTAGAATATTATGCCATATCTCAGACGGGAATGAACATTTGCGAAATGTACACAAGCAGTATGGAGGCTTATTGAATTTGAAAGAACCTGAAAGTGTAGCATAAAGAACTCAATTCAGTGTTCATTTCATTCATATAGAAATTTAATTTAAGGTTTGACTGAATTGAAAGAACTGAAAATGTTACCTTAACATCAGTTAATGGCATACCGTTCATTTTCAGTGGATTTCAGTTTATTTGAAATGGAAAACTGCATTGAAACCGTTTTCTTTTCATTTACTATTACTTTGTTATTACGGAACCAATTTGAAATATCTGACATGTACTATTAACGGTATCTTTACTTCTACCACTGCCGCTCCTCTACCTCTCCGCCTACTACTACCAGTTTCCTTTATCGGCCACCTGTTGACCACTGTCTAGCAAAGAAAAGCACTCTCACCCTCTTCGGTTCAGGATTATAGGATTTTTTGACTGAGGAGTTTTGGAAAGGATCTGACGCGCCTTAACAGCTTAAACCGCTCAATACAGCCATTGCCAGTTACCAGAGCTTAGATCTCGCCAGAAAAGAAATCCACTGGAGACGATTCTTCGGTAAAATTGATCTACGAAAAAAAATTGTTTTCTGTAACAAGAACAAAAAACACACTATTTCTCTTATGTGAAGTATTTGTTGACATGGAGGAAGCTGAATAATTTTGTTTTTAGTGGTTTTCGAAGAAGTACACCGATAGCAAAAATCACTATGAATCCACTTTACAAAAATAAGAAGAGGAAAAAAGAGAGAAAAACAACAACAACAACAACAACAAACAAAGAACAACACCAATCGACTCTACGAAAATGTGCTCAAGAAATTAGAGATGATATAAAAGATTCGTTTTTATGGCTTTCAGTTGATGAAACAACTGATTCCAATGAAAGGTAAGTAGTTAATATAGTGGATAATAGTGGGCAAATTGGATTCCAAAGATTTTTTTTCTGACGGATAAAGCAACATACATGCTGAAAGAAGCAGTAGCTCTTCTAGTGTTCTACTCCAAAATGCTCCAAATTACTTGCATTGTTCATGGCCTAGATCGCGCTGACGAAGAGATTAGTTCGCAGCACCCTAAAGTTAATAGTTTTATTTTTACAGTTAAAATTTGTTTCAAAGCTTCCTCGAGAACACAGATATTTAAAAAGAAATACCAAAAACTGCCAGAGCTTGTTCTTACTAGATGGGGAACATGGCTCAATGCTGCACTTTACAACTTGCCACACGTTTAATCTATTAAGAAGATAGTTCCTTTATTGAATGCAAATGCGAAGTGTATTAATTCAGCAAATGTTACGGCTTCAAATCTTGAAGGAATCAAAAACGAACTTATACATATTGGGGTACACTTCATTACGTTGCCTAAAATCATTACGAAGCTTTAAGAATGTGAGCTAGTACTACTGCAGTTAACTTATGCAACGTCTTTCAACAATTTGCCAGAACCAGCAGGGCAAGTTTTTGCACAAAAAAAATAAGACAATTAAATAAAGAAATCCCGGTTTGAGATCTCTATAAAAAAATTGATATTTTCATGGTGAAACATATGGCGTTGAAAATTATATAGCTAAATAATTGCAGCTTTTAAATATTGTGCCCTAAACTCATGTGAAGTTGAAATACCTTTTTCTGTGTACAAGAACATCTTGCAATCAACGGAAAAAGATTCGCGCTAGTAAACTTGGAAAAATATATTACAAACTCTGGCAAAAAAATTAAATTCAGTGTATATCATTCAACATGTAAATCGAACTATTTCATATATAATAAAACACGCACTTTTGCCTGTGCATATTTTCCTTTTTAAGTGCATATTTTCCTATTTTTAGAGCATATTTTCATGTTTATTTTCAGGATTTTTAGTGCATGAATCCGCACTCAAGATATAATATACCGTATTTGACTTTTTACACCGATATATGAGACATTTCTTCTTCTGAATTAATACAAAGCACAAACCTTCACGAACCTATAACAAAAAGCAGTCACATCCAAGCCGCATTTCACGCTGTCAGATCTCTCAATGCTGGGAAGCAACTTGCAAGAAACAATGCGATTCTGTTCGAGCATGACTTATCAGCAATGCTGCCAAACGTTTTTCATTTCCTAAAGTTGAATTCTCAGCGTTCAGTATCATGTATCATTGTTCACATTTCGATTGTTCCTGCACAATTACATCTTCAGAATTATTAAATGAAGCAGGCGCGGATCCAAAGGGAGGAAAATTTCTTCCCCCTTAAACATTTTCAGTGACTATTGATTTTAACTTCTCATGAAACTTTCATGCAAAAATGTTTTCGGATAATCATTAAAACGAATAAAATATTATTTCAGCATGAGCTGAGTGTAGCCTGAGACAATTTACAAAATCTGTAATATGACACATTCGGTCAAAACATTTTGAATTTCTTCTCCCAAAATTTGTCTCTTCATTCGTCCAGTCTCTTCATCTTGACCAGTGTACCAGCGGACATTACCGCTCGCCACCGTCTTGGCCGCCGCCGCAGCCCCCGCCCTCGAGGCAAAGAGCTGCCTCAAGTTAGAGTATATTATATATTATATATTATATATTATATATTATATATTATATAACTCGTTGGGCTGACCTCTCTTACCAGAGATTTCTGAACAGGGCCAAGGACTGAACATTGACACTAGAAAAAATGTATTGTTTGTAGTATTAACTTCTTGCTGGAGGAGCCGCGCATTGACTGTGTAAGTATCACACTTTCATTCAGTTTATTTTTTGTTTCGCGAATCGGCCATGATGGGGCTACGCATCCCACGGGGCTCAGACTTGATTATCGGGGTAGAGGCACGTTAATGCTGATTCCATTTTTATGCTGATTCCATTTTTATGCATTTTAATGCTGATTCCATTTTTATATCCCCTGCTTGTTAGACTTGAAGGATGGGATGAAATGATGATGATGATGATGAATGATGAAATAGACACACACACAAACAGAGACACACACAACACAACCATGCAAGAGGCGGGACTCGAACCCGCGATCTACTGATATGAGGCAGCTACGGCACTACTGTCTTAGCGATCTCAGCCATGAGATCGGCTGATCAGATCGGCTCCCTTCATTCTAAAACTAGAATCCATGAAATCCTTTCTTCTTTGTAAGAATTGTGTTGTTCTTTCTTACATCCTACGAAATCAGAAAGACAACGTAAGGTTAATTAATAATCCTCCCTCTCGTCATAGCTAGCGACAACGATTGAATAAGAATGGGGAGAGAGTGGGGGTATATTACAGCATGCAGATAATACATATATATATATAGGGATATTAAGTAATGACACCGTCGTTTCGTATTACATACGGATTCATTTTCATACATGCGATATAATTTATTAGTAAGAAAAATAGAATATGTTTTAGATGTAGCAATGAAAATTATTTTTTAATAATTTGAAATAAAATATGAACAATTAGCATCAGCATCACGGTGGTTTTTATTTTTCCGTCTAGGTACTATTTCTCTCTCTCTCTCTCTCTCTCTCTCTCTCTCTCTCTCTCTCTCTATCTTTCTATCTCTATCTCTCTCCCTCTCTCTCACCCTCCCTCTCTCTCTCCCTCTCTCTGTCTCTCTCTCCCTCTCTCTGTCTCTCTCTGTCTGTCTCTGTCTCTCTCTTTCTCTGTCTCTCTCTCCCTCTCTCTTCCTCCCTCTCTCTCTGTCTCTCTCTCTGTCTCTCTGTCTCTGTCTCTCTCTCCCTCTCTCTCACTCTCCCTCTCTATCTTTCTCTCTCTCTCTCTCTCTCTAACAAAAGAAAGAAGGTCGTGGACATTGGACGTTTCTTCAGGTTGAGTTCAGTCGCTCTCTGAAGAATAGTTCTAGCGGCCGACAAACTTTTGTAATTTGCTCTAATCGGTGTCTTTCCTCGGTTTCTTTGAACAATACCTGCCGAATGCCGGAGCTATAGCCTAAGAAACGGGCCACAGTCAGCGCGCGATCTTTTCTTCCTCTTCCTTCGCCTTGCCTCACCCTCTACTTACACACTCTCACACACACACACACACTTGCATGCACTACACTATCACACCTGCCGGGAGACCGGTCGGGTGTTT